GATTCCTCCTCATCCTCCTCTTCTCCCCTGGGGGGGCAGCGCGAGAACGCAAATTCATTCCCGCTTCGCGGCGCGACGCACGAAGTTAGACGCCCTGGGGTCTGGACACCTTCCCAGCGACCGGCGTCTCATCCCGAGCCGTTTTTTCACGGCCCCGAGGCCCAGGAAAGGGTCCCCTGGAAGCCAAAATCTGCGAAAACCACGACGAGAGGAGGTCTGGGTTTCTCCAGTCTCACCCCGCGCCAAACACATGGACTGCGGGCGCGGGCGGGGAGAGACGCCACCCCTCGGCCGCCTGAGCTGGGGGCACTTGTCGGCCGCGGAGTAGTGGAGCGGGGAGTGGGTAGCCGCATAAGCTGTCTTGAAGACACGAGGGGCGGAAGGCGGAGCAGGAGGACCAGGATGAGGAGGACCAGTGCAAATCCAAGACACATCCAATCTGTTGCACTAAACTCTCGTTCATAGTGCTCTCTTCACATGCCCCTGCAAGATTTGATCTTCGGTGCGGGAAGTGCCTCATTGAACAACATCCGTTTGAGAATCCTCAACTGCACCAAAACACCATTCCTGTGGCTTCCACGCCACAAATCAACGTGATTGTTGCGTCTTGACAGTCCAAAATCATGCCAGGACACCGTCCCTGGGACTCCAACCAAGCGAATCAACGTGACTGCTACGTCCTGACAATTTAATGGCCTTCGGCCCATCCCTCCACCGTGATTGGACTGTGGGTATGAAGCCTAGTGGGTGTTCTTTGGAATATCGTGGGAGCCTCTCGGGAGCATCTTGAAGGCAGTTTTGAAGCCTCTTGGGGGCCGTGCTGAGGCATCTTGGGGCCTCTTTGGGGCCTCTTGGGGGATCTCGGGCGCCTCCTGGGGCCTCCTTGGGGCTGCTTGGGGCGGAAGGCTTGGACTTTCGGTTCGTGTATCGTTTTGGGCCCTTTGGGAGGCCGTTTTGGGGCCCGTTTGGGCCGTCTTGGGCGCCTTCGGGGCCGTCTTGGGGCGCTTGTTGGGTCGTTTTGGGGCCCTCTCGGATGCCGTGTGTGCCATCTTGGGGTGATATTGGGGGCCTTTGGGGCCATTGTGGAGCGTCAGACACAGAAAGGCGAGAGCGCCAAAATCTTTTAAAACCTGTTTGCACAATCAATAATGTTTGCCTCGTGGGGCCCTCTTGGGAGGCCTCTTGGAGGCCTCTTGGGCCGTCTGGGAGGCCTCTTGGGCCGTCTTGAAGCCATCTTGTGCGTATTGAAACGATATTTCGGCGACTCGGAGCCCTCCTGGACCGTCTTAGGGGTCTCGTGGGGCCCTCTTGGCCCGTCTTGGGGCCTTCTTGGACCCGAAAAAATCATGCGACAAGATGCGCCTGAGCCCAGGGGGCACACGAGAAGCCCCAGAGGATTTGAGAATCTGGGGTCCGGGCCCTAAACGACTCTTCAGGAGTGCTAAAAAGGGTTGGGCAAAGGACCTGAGGACACGCCCACTCCGTGCCCAGCGGCACGGTGGCGGATCTTCAGCCGTGCCAGAACAAGAGTCTTGGGAGTTCGAGTCGTCGAATCCTCGAAACTGCTGCAACCACATAAGACGGATGCGCGCGGCGCTAAGGCGAAGGCCACAGGTTGAAAAGGAACCGCCCACCGTGCTGGAAATTGCTACAACATGTTCAGACGAGTGTGCGCGGCGCTTTGGCGAGAGCCACATTTTGAAAACCACTCGCCCTCCAGTTGTGATGCTGCTTGAAAGTTTCAAGACGAAAGCGCCATCATTTTGGAAGTGGGCCCGCCGTCCATCCTTGAAACTATTGCAAACTTGTCCCGCGAATGTGCGCGGCGCTAAGGCGAGAGCCACATTTTGAAGTCGGCCCGCCCTCCATGTTGATGTCTGAAACTGTTGCGAAACTCAAGTTGCAGGATCATAAATGGTGAGGAGTTATCAGGCGTTCGGGGATTACGACAGGACGGAGTTTTTCTGTTAAGAGGAGGAAGAGAAGACAAGAGATCCCGCAGCCTGCCGCAGCGTGCTCTGGTCAGAGGTCCCTGGCGCGGCGAGCAAGCTCGCCAAGGGCCCCCCAGCGCTCGCGCTGTATTCCAAGCTTCGGGGACGGGTGGCACGATAAGCTCGGTGTCAGCTCATTGCCCGCCAGGCCTTGATGTTCTGGCATGCTCTTTCCGAGCTCACCTTTTAGCGGTGACCGCCCGCATAAGTGTTGATGATTGTCAGCAGGAGCTTCAGCTCTGTAGGGTACTCTTGGTGCAAAGATTTTGGCACCCTGAAGCTCCACCCGCCGAAGTGGGCTAGTGGAGGGAGCACTTCAGTCTGACGAATGAGCGCTGCAAGACGAAGCGCGGAATTCATGGTAGTGTTGTGGGGACGGCCAATTCGATCATCCCAGGCCTCCGAAGTCGTGTGTTTGCGTGCGTGTATGTGTGTGTGCCTGTCTGTGTGTCTATGTCTGTGTCTGTGTCTGTGTCTGTGTTTGGGTGTCTGTGTGTCTTCTGTGTGTATTACGTGTCTTCTGTGTGTCTGTGTGCGTCTGAGTCTATGTGTGTGTCTGTGTGTCTGTCTGTGTCCGCCTTGAGTCGAGTTCGCTTGAGTCCGCCTTGAGTCGAGTTCGGTTTACGTACTCCTCGGGTTCTGGCCGCTGCACGCTTGTGGGGTACAGTTCCATCACCACACCGCCCATGTGTTGCACGTACATCGTGCGACCCTCGCACTTCTTTTCTCTCGGATTAGTCCGTCTGAGATTGGCACCTTCAGCTGCTGCCCGCGCCTGGGTTTCTTCTGCGACGACGACTTAAGGGTTTGTGTCTGTGTATGTGTGTCTGTGTGTGTTCAATACGTTTCCTGTGAGCTCTCGGCCCCTTCCCAGGGACTGGTTTTCTCATTCGGGAGTGTTTTGTGATGGTCCGTGGGCCCGAGACGGATTTCTGGAGGCTGAAACCGTGGAAAACCTGGTAGTTGGAGAATCACGACGTCAGGGGCCTGAGATTGAGGCCGACGTCTCTTCTCTCTTCTCTCTCTCTCTCTCTCTCTTTCTCTCTCTCTCTTTCCTCCCTCCCTCCCTCCCTCCCTCCAGCCTCATTCCCTTTGCCCCTTCTCATCCCCCGCCCCTCTCCTCCCTCCCCTCCGTGCCCTTCCCCTTCCACCCTTCTCCATCCCCTCCTCGCTCCCTTTCCTCCCTCCTCTCCTCCTGGCTTCTGCCCCCCGCCCCTCGCCGCTCCTCCCTCCCCCTGATTTTGTTCGCCGCGTGGCCCCGCAGAGGTCTGCACCCTCCCCAGGACCGGCTTCCGGCAGGCCGCTGCTTGACGGTCCCAGGGCCCAGTAAGGGCTCCCAAGGGGGCGAAGATGCCCCCCCCCCCGTCGTGGCCTGTTCGCGACGCGAGGATGTCAGGGCTCTTCCCTTCCCCTTCGCCTTGCGAGGGGCTCCCTGACCTCAGAGGTCCCCCGCCCCTCGCCGCCCTCGGCGGCTTGCTGCCGGGGGCTGCCCCTCCCAGCGGATGTTCCTCGTCCTGCTCGTCGTTGTCGTCGTCCTCCTTCCACCCTCCTCCCCCTCCTCCGGTCGCTGCCGCGCTCCGGGGCAACTGCACAGCGCAGAGGGAGGTGGCCAGGTAGGTTCAGACGAACGCACGGTGCCTCCTCCTCCTCCTCCTCCTCCTCCTCCTCCTCCTCCTCCTCCTCCTCATCATCATCATCATCATCATCATCATCATCATCATCATCATCCTAATCCTCCTCATCCTCATCCGCATCCTCATGCTACTCCTCTTCCTCCTCCTCCTCCTCCTCCTCCTCCTCCTCCTCCTCCTCCTCCTCCTCCTCGTCGAGGGTCTTCAGGGGGTCTCCAGGGACCTCTGGAGGTTCCTGGAGGCTCCCATGGGGGCAAAAAGGGGCAAGAAAGCGCACACAAAAAGCCTGCATCCTCGAAACTAAAAGCGTCGGCTCCACCTCATCCTCCCTCTTCTCATTGGTGGCAACCTTCGGGGTGCAATCTGCGGGTGTGCCTGGGGTTTGGCTCACCCCTCGTGGCGACTAGGAGGCAACTCGATGTAATCTTTGCTGCACCATCTTTGGGTTCAATCTATCTGGTGTGACACATGGGGTGCACCTCGTGGGATGCACTGCTGCGAGGTCATGTTCAGGGTGTCAGCTCCCTGGGGTAACGCTTGGGAGGGATAGGATCAGGGGAGAATGCATCGATTTCAATTCGCCCAGTTATCGCCGACAGGCCTGATAGCCCACCCCTCCTGGGAACGAGCAGTAATCGAATATCGTACCCACCGCCGATCTATCGGCGACGAGTCGCCGATGCCAGGTCGATGCTTCCCCCCCTGAGCCAGTCAACCCCTGACGTTCCCCCTTGGGACCTCTTCGGACGGGGCTAGGACGAGGATACATCCATTCCAGAGCGTTCAGGAACGCTCACAGAGCGCTCCAGAACGCTTTGAGGAGGCCGCGTCGCCCGAGAAATCCTCCAGATCCGCGGGTCAGAGATTCCCGAGTTGTCCTCACAAGATTTGATCCTCGTCCAGGCTTCCTCTTACCTATCCCTCCCAGCCTTCTGAGAAACTGTCTCAGCCTTCCCCGAAGACACAGAAAACTTCTCGGAAGGCCCGAGGGCTTCTGAGAAGCCCCGCCGCCTTCTGGGAGGGCCTTCTCCTTCTCTCTGGAGGGGAAAAACACACAGACACACTGAATCGTCGATCCCCAAGAAGAAAATATAGGAAAATACGGGAATTGGGCGGGAAGACAAAAACCCACAAAACAAAAAATGGGGATTCCTCTGATTTGTGTGTATGTATTCGCGTGTCCTTGGGCCCCTTGATTCTCACTTCCCTCCCTCGCTCGCCGCCGCTCCCTGCTCTCTGCTTCTCCTCGTGGCGCCCTCGCGCAATTCGTGCACGGCGCCGTGCCGCCGCGCCCGGCTGGCGGCAGCCCGGGCGCCCCGGGTGCGAACCCGCACGGGCCAGTGGCGCCGAGGCGCCCGCGCGCCTTCCTCCTCCTCCTCCTCCTCCTCCTCCTCCTCCTCCTCCTCCTCCTCCCTCCTCCTCCTCCTCTCCTCCTCCTCCTCCTCCTCCGCCCTCCTCCTCCTCTCCTCCTCCTCCTCCCTCCTCCTCCTCCTCCTCCTCCTCCGCCTCCTCCTCCTCCTCCTCCTCTTCCTCCTCCTCCTCCTCCTCCTCGCCACCCGCCACCGCCAGCCGCCGCCCCGCTCCCCCGCGGCCCGCCCCCCAGCCGCACGGCCCTCACCCATCGCCCACTCGTCGCCCGAAGGTGCCCTGTGCGCCGACACCGCCCCGCCCTCACTCCAATTGGGCGTCGCGTAATGGGAGGGTTGTCGGCAACGGAGGGGCAGCGAGGGCTGCGGAAAAGAGGCTGGCGGCCCTTCAGGGTCCCTGGAGGGGCCCTTTAGGGCCCATAAGGCGGCCATTCGGACCCGAAACGTGCACTTTTTTTCCCCCCCCACTGATCGCCCCCCCATCAAGCGACTCCCAGCCCTCGCTCCAATCGGCGGCGAGCGAGGGGGGGAAGTGAGAAGGAGAAGGCCCTCTCAGAAGACGGCTGGGCTTCTCAGAAGCCCCCGCGCTTTCTGAGGTTTTCCGCTGTGCCTTCGGGAAGAGGCTCAGAAAACTTCTCAGCAGGCCGAGGTGCTTCCGAGCCTTCTGAGCAGGCCCGCCCCCCTCCTCCTCGTTGTACCCCCCGCCCGCCGCCGATCCGAGCTGCACGCTCCAGGCGGCCCACACGGGGCGTCTCGGTGCCTGGCGTTTCGGGAGGTTTCGGGCAGTCTCTTCGGCTCCAGGGAGAATCGACTACACGTGAGAGTGACCCCTCGCCGGAGTGACCTTTGGTACGGGCCCGTGGGGGCCCCCCGATCGCCGAGCGCGATGCGGTAGTAGCGTAGCGTCTTGCGCGCTTGTGTGCTGCCACCCCCCCGCGGCCCCACAAAAACCCGCGCACCAAAGGTCACTCTGACCCAGGGTCACCTCTTGCATGTAGCCAAGAAGCACACACACACACACACACACACACCACCACCACCACCACCACCACCACCACCACCACCACCACCACCACCCAAAAAAAAACACAACCCTCCCCCCCCCCAAAAAGAAAGGCTCCTAGATATGGAAGATTCTCGTGCGGCCGCTCTCCTCTGGGATGGTCCTGTGCGCTCGCACGGACCGTTGGGCGACACACAGCGCGCAGCCGGGCAGGGGAGCACGAGAGACCCCAAGGAGCCCTCGAGACCCAGCCCGGCTAGCACACAAGACACCCCAGGGAGGGCGGGCGGGAAAGCCGGCCGCGCCGGCAAAAGCGACGCCCCAGGGGACCAGCGCCCGCGGCCCGCAGGAGGGCGCGCCGGCCCGCCAGAGCGTCGCCCCGACGAGGCCGCGCGCGCCCAGGCCACACTGCACAGCCGTTGGCCTGCAGCGTAGCCACGCGGCTCCCACGGGAGCACTGGCCGATATTTGCTACCCCGCCTCGGGCCCGGGCGGCAAGGGGAGCGGAGACGCCGAAAGGCAACCGAATCACCGAATCCCCGAATGGGGACAGAAGCGGCCTGTGAGAATCTTCCTCCCCAGAACCAAAGCTTAGGGATGATGAAGATTCTCGTGCGGCCGCTCTCCTCTGGGATGGTCCTGTGCGCTCGCACGGACCGTTGGGCGACACACAGCGTGCAGCCGGGCAGGGGAGCACGAGAGACCCCAAGGAGCCCTCGAGACCCAATGCTGGGGCTCTCGGCGACCCGGACCCCAACCCCACTGCTGACGACGAGAGCACAGCAGCACTGATGATGGCACAGACCCGACGATGCTTTTCACAGTCTCCACTGCTCACGGCGCGCCGTCGGACGCAGACGAGTCCGAAAACTCCACTGGCCACTCCGCAGCAGTCATGGCGTCTCTGGAGGCGGCAGAGGCGTAGCCGAACGCAGCGACGCCACGCCAGCCTCCACTGTGGAAGAGCGCCGGCACGCCGCCCGCCGCTAAACACTCGTCCGCCCAGCCCCTGCGGAAGGCATGTGTACCCCACTCGGCCGCGCGCTCGAAGCCGAGCGCCAGCGCCGATGCTTTCAGCGTGGCCAGAGCCGCCCTGTAGGACAGGCCAGGGAAGAGGCGCCCCCGCCCAGCCCGGCGCTGCAGGACGCACACCCCGCACAGCTGCCGCGACTGGAGAACGCAGATGCACCGCCTCGTCACCACCACTGTCTCTGTGTGCATCTTGCGCTTGTGCAAGTAGATGCACGCCTTGGGCAAGCCCCCGTCGACCGAGAGCACGACCCTGGAGCGCGGCCCGTCGTGCTCCAGAGGCACCACCTCCGACGCGAAACGGAGACAGAAATGTCTGGCGACCACGAAGGAATCCGCCACCAGAGGGTCCCGGAGCACCTCCCGCACGTGGCCAGCAACGCTGCGGGTGTCGTGCGCACTGGCCCGCGCTCGAAAGCGGCTCGTGCCGGGCACCGTTTTGGCGGCCCCCCGTGCCAGACTTGAGGTGTCTTCCAAACACCCCAGAGGGACCCGGACCAACCGCAGGGCCGCCCGGACCTGGGTGCAGTACGTCATCAGCGTGTTGCCGTTCTGCACTGCGAAAGCAAAGGCCCCCAGCACGCTGTCTGTCGGCGGCCACGGCGGCACTCCGAGGCCCTTGGCTACCTGGCCCCAAAGCCGCACTGCGGACGCATACTTGTAAGCACTCCGATGCCACCCGCAGAGCTCTCGTCTCAAAAGCTCCTGCGTCGCTGCAAACTCAGACATATTGCCCACCAGTTGCAAAGCACGCTCTCTCGGGTTGCCCCCTGCGCCTCCGCGACGCCGAGCCCATGCCACTTCGAGCTCTTCAGGCGTAACGCGGCCCAGCGTTTGCACTGCGTCGGCCAAGTCCTTGGGTTCCAGGAAAGTCCTCCGAAAGCGAGCTGCGGCCAGGAAGCCAAGAGCAGCAAGGGCAGCTTCAGCTTCGCCCACTTCTGGCCCTGCGGGCGTGGCGCTTTCCACCAAAGGCGATGCGACCTCACCGCTCGGGCCGCCGCTGCCCTGGGAGCGCCCTGCCGGCGGCGCCACAGGAGAGCGCCTCCCGGAAGGGAAAATGGCCAAGAATTCACTGGCCAGCTCTCGGAGGCACGGCCAGACGTCCCGAAGTTCCTGCACACTCACGTCGTTGAAGTCATCTCCGGCCACGGCCCCGCCACTGGCGAGAGCGCGCAACACATTGTCAGGCGATGCCGGGTGGTAACGCGGCGGCGTGCGCCGAAGCACCCCTGTGAACCACTGTGCAAGAGCAGGCGGCACCACATCATGGGAGCATGCTTCTTCTGGCGGCTCAGGGTCCGAAGCGCCATCGCCCAAAGCCCACCGCGCGCGTTTGCGGTTGATGAACTCAAGTGCCATGTTGGGCCAAGCTGACTACGGATGACTGCGTGGGAGGCCGTGCGCCGGAGTACGCGGCAAGAAACGCTGACGAATCAACAACTGCACTTTTTTCCTTCCTCGCGAATGCATGCCCGTCACCGCCTCTGCTGCCAGAAATCCACTGCCGGCCAAGCCCACTCGAGGCGAGCGAAGCCGCGAGAGACCAGCTGTGCCAACTCCGATGCCTTCTGCTCTGGACGAGTTGGCCAGTCTGCCAAATTTAAATGTGAAGGCACGCGGAATGCACTTAAAAAGTGGCCACGGTCTGCTGCAGCAAACCACACGCCAGCCACCATAGCATTCCAGTCACGCTGGCGGGAGCACCCGCGGAGCAGCGTCCCGAGTGCGACTGTCGAGTCGATAAAAATCACAACGTCGAGCCCTGCTACGCCTTCGGGCACACTGAAAAACTGCCAGAGTGCACACACTGCAGCTACTAGCTCCCAGGTGTGGATTTGCTGCTGACGCGGGCAGGCCCACCTCGCAAGCCAGCCCGGCACTGGCGCTGAAGCGAAAAACTTACGCCCGGCCAGCACGGCCACCCAAGCCAGCACGCCTGCTCCCGAGGCGTCAGTGTACACAGCCAAACGCGGCTTCACCGATGGCGACAGCGGGACGGCCCTGCTTGGCTGCGAATTGAGGAACCGCTGCCACCACAGGAGCGCAAAGCGCAAACGCTTGGAGATGCGAGCGCTTCTCCCGGCTGAGTGCCGGAAGAGCGGCGCCAGATAGACGCGCGCGCCCTTCCCGAAGACTGCTGTGGCCCCCCAGCTGAGCCGGCCGGCCAGCTTCTGCGCGCGCGCTGGCGTTAAACGCTGGCCCCGGAGCACCTCCGCGATTTCCGCCAGCCACTTGGCGCACTTGTCGCTGGGCACGACAAAATTTAAACACTCTGTGGTTGCGTGCACGGACACACGAACCCCCAGCGCAACAAAACTCAACGCTGCCGTAACTGCTTTATGTGAATCGAGACGCCAGCCCAGCAAGTCCTGGATGACGAATCTAGCTAAAGAGGCGGCGCCTACGGCGCTATCACCCCATTCGTGCGCTTGCTCTGCATCAATGCCGAAAAAATCGTCCACGAAACGTGGATACACGATGCTAAACAAACGCAAAAGTATGGCTTGAAAAGCCGCGCCCACGCGCTGCCAGGCATGGACACTCGCCTTCCCCCCAAATGGACAGCAGAACAGTTGCAGGAACTGATCCTGCGAGACGGACTCCGCCGTCACAGCGGCCGCAAACGGGAGGTGCTCACTATGCAGCGGGAGAGTTTTGTAGGCCTCGCAGACGTCATCCTTGCGGAAGCGGACGTCCGCTGCGCCGGCTCCACCAGCGACGAGGCACTGCGCCGCCGCCACTAAATCATCGAGAGTTTCGTGGGCGACGCGTTCGGAGACCGCGGTCGCGCCATTGACCCCAGAAGCTGTGAGGTCATCGATGGCGCGGACCTTGAGAGACCACTGTCCTTCGCGAAAGCGCCAGCCCTCGTCCACAGCGAACCGAGGGGACAACACCACGCCAGAGAGATCCGATGGCAAATCGCGCCACTCGGCCTGTCCAGCCGCCACCTCCGCCCGGATGCGGGCCTCGAGGCCTTCTGCAACGCGACCGTCCCTTGCGGGTGCGTTTCGGACTCTTTGCAGGATGCTAGCGTTGGCGCCTGGCGCTGCCTCCAACAGCTCCTCTGGCGATGTGTGGCTAACAGCGTCGCTCAAGCACATGGCACCACTCGGGGGATGCACCCCGCTAGAGGGAAACCCTGCGCGAGCGACGCTGCGAGGTGAGTGTCTGGAGAGCCCGAGGCCTCCAACATTTCGGAAAACAACGCCAAGTTCTTCTCAGGCCCCAATATGGCACGGACGTGCGCCGGCAAGCGCGCGTACTGGTCGCGCCACGCTAGCGCCGTCACCTGTTGGCGGTGTTTCCAGTATCTCAACTGGCGCCACCTGAACTCGCACAGTGCGCTAGGGTCGGCCGAATGCCAATTCATTGCATCTCTGGATGCCTCAGGGATGGGAAACTCCCCGGTGCACAGCGGCAGGTGCAGCGCCCAGTCTAAATGAGCAAACGGGTCCATGCCCGCTAATCTAACAGGATCACTTAAAAAGTGCTCTACAGCGCCACAGAGAGCAGAGAAGCCTTCGCCGGCGCTAAACACGCCCGAGGCATCGCCGAGGGGTTGTCCCTCTCCCGAAGGCGCCTCGCTGGAGGCAGACGCCGGTTCACTTCACCAGCTGGGCCACTTCTTCTCCTGGCCTTTGGTGTGCCACTGCGCAGAAGCTGCGCCCTTGCCTTTGGGCGGGCTCCTGGAGCGCTGGGGCGTGGTCGGGGCCGGCCTGGCGGGCTTGCTCTGCTTTCCGCCTTTGTCTGGCTTGCCACCCTTCTGGCTCCCCTTGCCCTGCGATCCCGGCTTGCCTCTTTGCGAAGGCGCGTACCCCTGCGATGACGCCGGGCCGCTCGTCTGCTTCGAGTTAGCCCGGTTGACCTCCTCGGCGCGCTGTTTGACCTTGTGCGAGGCGTCCTCCAGCACGTCACGATCCAGCCTGCACAGCAAGACCTCGACCTGGTCGCCCTGGCCCTGCTCGAGGGCACGGGCCAGCTTCTGGCGGAGAAGCAAGTCGTAGTAGAACGCAACCCTCGTGCCGCCACGCTCCTCACACAAGCGCGCCAGTTGCATCTCGCACGCCCAGTACTGCACGGGCGTGATCACCTTGGAGAGAACCATTTTGGTGCCCCAATCGTGGAGGTGACCGAGAAAATTCGCGAAGCCCATAAAGCCGATCCGCTCCTCCATGGCGCGGGCCCGCTTCGCTTCCCGGGCCTCCGTGACTTTGTCACCGTTGGTCCCGCTGCCCACGAGGACGTCCAGTTTAGGCGTTTTCGAAAAGCCTGGGCGGAAGTTCGCAAGCAGATCTTCTCCCTCAGAGGAGCCCACCCATTTCCGGCCCTTATCCCTGGCAATCTTCGCCGACGGGAGATTCTCCATTCGGAGAAGAGCCTCTTCTGTGGGGAGTAAATCTCCTTGGACGCACCGGAGCCCCACTTCAGCGATCCTGTCCTGCAAGTTGAAGCTCAACGTCCCGCGCTTTGCTTCTTTCTCCGCCTTGGCGTTTTGCACCTTGGCCCACTCTGCAATGGCCTGGGCAGTCTGGTCCGCGGCGCTGCTGCAGCCCGGGCAGCCCGACGGGAACTCCCGCATCGCCTTCGTTTGGACCTTGAGGGCCAAGGTGATGCGGGCAGGTTTGAGCTTGAAGTTTTTCCATTGCTCATCTTGGTCCTGGTCGAAAGGAACAGCGTTCACTTACAAGCTACTGATGACAAAGTCACGCATCTTCTCTTCTGCGTAATCAGTGGGCTCCACTGACCCAATGGACTCGGCAAGCGCCCGGGCCGTGCCCGCGTAGAAGATGAGCGGGTGAGTATCTGCTGGGGCATCCTGCACAGACGCCACGAACTGCACCCACTGAGCTACCTTGTCGTTCCCGCTCCCCCCGAAAGCGCCCTGCCCTGCAGCAGAGACCATGGCGCGGACGTCGCTGTCTGCGAAAGCCATATTGAGTGTGGCCCTTAGAATGAGTACTTGGGGCACCTTTGCTGGGTCGGAGGGGTCGAATGAACTTGGCAGCACCTGTCTTTCTGAGCCAACACAGCAACGGGCGCGTGTAGGAAACGCAGGGTAATGTCGACAACGCCTGGACCCTTTGGCAACGCAACTGGCACGGCCATTCCCTCCGTGGCACATGGGCGCACCACCGTTTCAGGCCTTCGAGCACCCCCACCTGCGTCCAGCAGCCAGTTTTCCGATCGCGCCCAGCTGTCACAACGGCACGTCGGCCGCTTGAGCCCCAGCGCGAAGGAAGGAAGGGGAGAGAGTCCTCCGCTCCGCTCCGCCCTCCCTGGACGCAAATTCGCACAGCTCTCGTTGCTGCACATCCCGGCGACCCCCCTTTGACGTCCATCGCGGCCAGGGGGGCCACTCGGGTCACCATGGAGCGAAACCACGCAAGCTACAGCAGTGCCACGCCGATCCCAGTCGAACCCCTTTGACCGCTCAGCGGCCAGGGGAACTACATGGGTCTCCCTGCTCCTCCCCCTCCGCCGGGCCAGAGTGAGTAGAGGAGTCATTTTCAGCGTACCGAGGCCTGTTCTGGCCAAGTGGCAGCACGCGAGGGGGCTTCCGCACATCCCACGCTAATGCAGACGGACGTCGTCGCCCTGAAATTTTTCGGACTGCCCGAAAATGCGCCTAAGAAATCCGTCCGTAGCGGACCAAATGGCCAGCGGCCAGAGCCCAATTTTCACGAGCTACACCAGAATTTGATTCTGAGTTCGCTGGTGAAAGGGCGTCAGCATGGATATGCCCACTACGCCCGTTTGGGACGCGGGCCCCCCGGGGTCGGTCGAGGGCGGGCGTGCTGCACAAGTGCAAAGCACACCCGCCCCCGTTGTGTGCAGGTGGGGGGTTAGCCAATGCCCCCCCATCAAGGACTAGCTTCTGCCGCCTGCACACATCCGATCCCGAGTGCCCAGAGTGTCCGTAGCCACTCTTTCTTGCTCGTGTGGTCCGCGAAATCGCGCCCCGGACGATTGTCGTGCAGCTGTCCTCTGAGATGCTCCAGTGCCCCCAGGAGCGCGAATTTGCGCTCAGATTGCGAATCTGGGCAGTGCCAGAAGGCAAAAACGAGCTCAGAATGCAATTCTGGGCGCGCCGACGCGAGCGCTTAGCTTGTGAATCTGGGCGCGCCTCGGCGCCAGAACGCACACAAATGAGCTCAGACTGCCATTCTGAGCGCACGCCCGGGCGCGCGAATTCGCACTCAGAATGCGAATCTGGGCGCGCCTCGGTCACAGACTACACAGAAAGCAACTACGGGCGGGACGGGCAGGAACGCGAAATTGCGCTCAGAGTGCGGCTCCGGGCGCGCCTCGGCCCCAGACCGCAGAAAAAAACTCAGAATACAGACCTGGGCGCGCTGATGCCTGGAGGCGCGACTCCACGCTCAGATTACATATCTGGGCGCGCCTCGTCCCAAGACCGCAGAATAGAACAGATTGCAATTCTGGGCGCGTGGGCGCCCATGACCGCGACTTTGCGCCCAGACTGCGAGTCTGGGCGCGCCCCGGGCGCAGTTCGCACAGTTGACCCCAGAAGTCAATTCCAGGCGCGCGGACCTCCAGGAGCGCAAATTTGCGCTGAGATTGTGATTCTGGGCGCGCTTCGGCCGCAGACCGGAGAAAGAGCTCAGGAAACCTTTCCGGGCGCGCGGAACGCCTAGGTGCGTCAGATAACTCATTGGGCGCGCGAGCGCGCGATTGCACCCAATTGGCCCGTCCCGGCGCGCGAGCGCACCAATGTGCTCGAATGGCCCCTTTAGGCGCGCGAGCGCGATTTGCACTCGAACTGCCCGTTAGGGCGCTGCGCGAAATTGCGCTCAGATAGCCCAGTCGGGCGCGCGAGCGCGGGATGCCACTCAAGACGCGCGAGCGCAAAATTGAGCACAGTTTGCTCGTTTGGTCGCGGCCGCGCCGGCAAAAGCGACGCCCCAGGCGACCAGCGCCCGCGGCCCGCAGGAGGGCGCGCCGGCCCGCCAGCGTCGCCCCGACGAGGCCGCGCGCGCCCAGGCCACACTGCACAGCCGTTGGCCTGCAGCGTAGCCACGCGGCACCCACGGGAGCACTGGCCGATATTTGCTACCCCGCCTCGGGCCCGGGCGGCAAGGGGGGCGGAGACGCCGAAAGGCAACCGAATCACCGAATCCCCGAATGGGGACAGAAGCGGCCTGTGAGAATCTTCCTCCCCAGAACCAAAGCTTAGGGATGATATCCTGCCGTGGCACGCGTTCCAGCGGCTGCGCCGCCTCGCCGAGCGCGCTCTGGGGGGGGCGCCACGGGCCGGCCCGAGCGGCCGCCTGGGGCCCGAGAGCTTTGACTTGGAAGGCCAGTCCGCTGAGGGATTCGGCTACAGCCGGACCGAGGTATAAGATCAAGGTCGGCTCGGGGGGGTACCCTAATGTTCTTCGTGTTTATTGGACGTTCTCGTGCATCCTGGGGAGGGTCCCTTCGGATGTCTGCGGGTTTGGGCCAGGGGAGGGCCTCTGCTCCAGGCTGCCCACGGGGGACGCTCTGGGAATCGGACACAGCGAAGCAGAAAGGAAAAACATCGAAGAACCATCAATGTGTTAAGGGTTCGCACGGAGTTCTTGGATCGCCCGATCCACCAATCCGCGCGGGAATCCGACGGCTTGTGTTTGTGCTGCTGCGCTTGTTTTTGTAGCTGGGAAGCTGGATGCACATGACGCGGCCGGCTTGGCCGAGAGGAGGAGGAGGAAGGAGGAGGAGGAGGGAGGAGGAGGAAGGAGGAGGAGGAAGGAGGAGGAGGAGGAGGAGGAGGAAGGAGGAGGAAGGAAGGAGGAGGAGGGGGCAGAGCTGGACAAACGTGCGGCCGTGTGCCAGGCCTCCGCGTGCGCAGCCGGCGGGAGTTCTGGCGCCGATGCAGTCGGACCTGGGCCAGCAGAACACCCCTCGAGAACAGGAGACCTCTTCTGGCCAAGAGCCGACCTCGACCTTATACCTCGGTCGAAACATCTGTTTGTTTCGGCTCTTCTGTGGGCGCTCGGGCCCTTGCCGAAGATGTGGGAGGTCTCTCGCAGGGATGCCTCGTAGCCATTTTGGGAGGGTGCTAGGAGGGGAGGCAGAGGATAAAAAAGGATGAGGAAAACGATGACGAGCCTCGGTCGAACACGAGCATACGGGCAAAAAACGGGTCGAGGATTCGGATGAAGATGAACAAGTGGAGGAGTAAAAAGAGGGAAAGGAACAGGAGGAGGAGGAGGAGGAGGAGGAGGAGGAGGAGGGGAGAGGATTTGGAGGAGGAGGTGGAAGAGAAGAAGGAGTGGGAAGAGAAAGAATGCGAGGAGAAACAATTTGTGGAATCGGAGGAGGATGAGGAGGGGAATGGAGAGGAAGAGGAGGAGGAGAATCAGGAGGAGGCGGAAGAGGGAGAGGCCTCTCGGGGACCGACTGGAGAGGCTTTGGGGGGCCTCTTGGGGCTTCTTGGGGCCTCTTGGGGTGTCTTGAGAGCCCCTTGGAGGCATGCTGAGGCTCTTGGCGGCAATGGTTCAGGGACAGGCTTCCGTGGCCCTGCCTCTTTCCCTTCTTGGGAGCATCTTCGGTCCCTCTTGGGGTCCTCTTGGGGGCATCTCGGGCCCACCTGGGGCCGGTTGGGCCGTCGCGGGAGCTTCTTGGGCCGTCTTTGGGCATACTTGGGGATCTCGTGGGCCTTCTCGGAGCGATTTTGGGGGCCTTACTGGTTCTCTTGGAGCGCCGAAAGCGCGGAAATGGGAGAGCGCCAAAATCTTCGAAGCACTGAATAGGGATTCTTGATTTGGGCATTTTTGGGTCCTCGCGGGGGGGGGGGGGAGCTCTCATGCAGCATCTCTGAGGCTTCTCAAGCCGTCTGGAGACCATCGTGTGCCATCTGGGGAGCGCTCTTGGGCCATATCGGGCCCTCCTGGATTGTCGTGGAGCCCTCTTTGGATGTCTGCTTGGCCGTCTTGAGGCCATCTGAAGTCGTCTTGGGGCCAGACGGGCCCTGTTTCCGCTTCGGGGAGGGGCCTGCGAGGGACCGCCGCCCGAGTAAGGGCCCACAGGAGGGACTTCAGGGAGGTTTTGACCAAACACTGGCGAATCCTGCCAAGCACTTTGACAGAGTGGTCTCGCACGGCCCAAACCACACGCGGGAGCGGCTGGATCGAGGACGTCGGCGGCGCATCACCGGCCGCTCCGTGGGCGTTTGTCAAAGTGGCGCGCAGAATCGGAGGTCGTGACGCGGAGCGTGTGCCAGCTATCACAAAGCCTTCGGCCCATCCCGCTACTGTGCCTGGGTTGTGGGTCGGAGTCCTCATAGGTGCTTCTTGGGGTCTGTTCGGAAGACTCTCGGGGGCCTCTGCGGGGCAGGTTGGGAGCCTCTTGGGAGCTTGTTGGGGGCCCCCTTGGGGCGTCTTGGGGGCCTCTCGGGGCCCCTTGGGGGCCTCCTGGAGGAAGCCTCTGAAGGCCCCCTGGGGGCCTGTTGAGACCGAAAGCTCGACATGTCTGCTCGGGTTCCTCTCTGGGCCTCCGCATGCCCACCGTGCCTGGGTTTGGGTCGGAGTCCTCATGGGTGCTGGGTTTGTTCGGAAGGCTCTTAAGGGGGCCTCCTGCGGGGCAGTGTGGTGACCTCTTGGGGGGCTCCTGGGGGCTTCTGGGGGACCTCTGGGGGCCCTCGTGGGGACTCTGAGGGGCCTCTTGGGGGTTCATTGGGGCCTCCTGGGGGCATCTTCGGACCTCATGGGGGTATCTTCGGATCGAAAACTCGAAATGTCCGCTGGGGTCCCCCCCTCTAGGCCCTCTCTTGGGGCCATCATTGAGCCTTCTGGGGCTGTTGGGGGTCTCTTGGGCTGTCTTGATGTCCTCTTGGGCCGTCTTGGAGCCCTAGTGGAGGCCTCATGGGCCGTCTTGGGGGGTATCTTGAGGGCGTCTTGGGCCGTCTTGAAGCGTCAGGAAGGCGTACAGGCGAGAACCCGACAATCTCCTGCAGGCTGCCCTCGCAGTAGCACAGGGCAGCGACGTGAAGCCTGCTGCTGGGCTGGGCTCCTGGGCAAACGCACCAGGCCCACAGCCCAGCAGGACAGCCTGCAGAAGCAGCCAACCAAGACCCCAAGCCGCATTCGCGGCACAAGGGTGGCAGAGGGTGGGTTGCGGCGCCGCCAGCTCTCTGGCCCTGCGGGATCCGCCTCGGCCCCGCCGCGGCGTGCCGCCAGCTCCCTACCCGCGCGGGAAGCTGAACACCCTGCACCTGCACCTCCTTGCAGAAAGGCTTTTCCCCTTCTGCGGGAGCCTTCCCCCGTGCCTTGCTGGAATCTGGCCCGAGCCGTTGACCAGCCAGCCAACCAGGAGGAGGAATGTGGAGGCGAGCGGGAGGTGAAGCCGCTCGGGCGTGTGAGCCGCACGCCCCCTCTTGGAGGCAACGAAGCAAAAGGGAGTTGCGCTTGCAACCCACGGCGCTCCACGGCGCATTCATAGAGAATTGCAAAGAGGCAAAGAAGCCAGAAGGCGAAGAGGCACCATTTGGCACGGGTCACCTTGGGAGATTTTCCGGTGCAAAACTGTCTACAGAAATTTTTGGTCGTTTAGACTGGTCCACCCCTCCACAGAGGAATGCCACCTCTAAAGGTTTTTGTCCGCGTCTACAGCGCCACAGTGGCCATGTCTAAAGGGGTTGGCCGGGGATTATTGCGGCACTCTACGAGCACTCCCAAGAGGATTCTGCCAGAATCCTGACAGGATTCTGAGAGGATTCTGAGAGGATTCTGACAGGATTCTGACAGGATTCTGAAAGCATTCTGAGAGGATTCTGACAGCTTTCTGAGAGGATTCTGAAAGCATTCTGACAGGATTATGAGAGCATTCTGAGAGGATTATGAGAGCATTCTACGAGGATTCTGAAAGCATTCTGAGAGGATTCTGGAAGCATTCTGAAAGGATTCTAAAGCATTCTGAGAGGATTTTGATAGCATTCTGAGAGGATTCTGGAAGCATTCTGAAAGGATTCTAAAGCATTCTGAGAGCATTCTGAGAGCATAAAGCATTCTGAGAGGGATTTGGAAGCATTCTGAGAGGGATGTGGAAGCATTCTGAGAGGATTCTGAAAGCATTCTGAAAGGGATTTGAAAGCACTCTGAGAGGATTCTGAAAGCACTCTGAGAGGATTCTGAGAGGATTCTGAAAGCATTCTGAGTGATATCAGAACGATCCCCAAGCGATTCGGGGCCGATTTTCGCATGACGTAGCCAAAGCACGATGGCTCAACCTCCGAGTTTGACTTCGTGTCCTTACTGTGCTTTACCTATACCTTCAGAATTGTTGTTCGCTCACCTTGCGACTCATGAAGGCTATGTGAATGCATTTTTTGGACGAGGTAGCTCTTCGCAGTCGCAATCTGCCCTGGTGCCAGCAGTGCCACAATCGGGGCCAGAGTCACCTGCACGTCGACTCGTTCCACTTGCAGCCGAGCCAGCTCCGCCGGCACAACCGCCGCCAATTCCTTTACATGATGCGCCGCGATCGGCAGGTTTCCACCGATGTTCTAGCATGCAGCTTCCCGAACTTCTGCAACACCTCGACGATCGGAAAGAGGCCGGAATCCTTCAGGACCTTCTTTCTGAAGGTGTTGTCCGCCCGCTTGGGCACTGTGGCTGCAACGCTTCTCGGCCGACCCTGAGACCAAGTCAAAGAGCCAGCCAGGCAGTCAAAGGCAGAGGCCATGGCCCTATAGCTTCAGCCAGATGCACTCGTTGTCAAGCGCACCACTCTGTCGATTTCAGTGGAACTCCGTTTGAGGGGAGCCGAAACAAACTTGGCTTGGTTACAACGTTCAAACTAGCTGCACACTGGTTGGACGGGACTGGCGTCGGGAAAACCGCTCGGGCATTGAAGTTATGTGACAGCACGGTATCTGCAATGTGGAGCAAGCTGAGACTCCCAGTGGCGTGGCAGCAGCAGAACTTACCCAGGATTGCCGATTCAGAGTGCATCGTGGATATCACATGGGGTCCGCATCGGAGACAGGTTCGGTACGGCGTGCCAGCGCGTCCTCTCAAGTTCGAGAGCTACATCTTCCAAGTGGCAGTGGCATTCAGGGTCTTCCAAGGCGCCCGGCGATTCCTACCTGGAACTCTTCGCGTGCAACGTGTCCTCAGCAAAGATGCCACGTACAACAAAAACGTATTGTTGACAATGTTGGACCCTTCCTGCTCAATAGTTTCGGACCAGGGCTCCGAATGGGCACGCCTCCCGCATTTCTTTGCCCGAGCCTCAACAGTCAACCATTCAATAGAATGGGTTTCGGCCGACGGTACAACAACAAATTTGGGCGAATCCTTCAATGGATTATTGAAGAAAATGGGTAGCCAGCTGAGTATGTGGAAAGGCCGGGTTGCTGATTCAGAACTTGAAGTCCGATGGCAGGAATTGGCTTGGAGAATCAATTCAGAACTAAACACAAGCGTTATCCCTGTTGGCGCGAAATTGGTCAAATATGTGGCAGTTTTGGCAGAATACCAAGCGAGCACCCAGGGGAGACTACCAGCAGTGGTTCCTGAAGCGCGACGAGCGCTGGAAATGTTTCGAATACCTCTCCCGACGGGGGAACACAGAGTGAGGCGATTTCCAGCGAAAAGGTCCGAGCTGCTTAAGGCGTGCTGGCGCAGACTACGGGAGTGGTAACGGGGGGATGCCGATACTTTGGAATTAAAGGGGCTCTCGAGGCAAGAACGTT